GGCAAGTGGATCGATGGCCATCTGCAGAACTTAGAAAGTCAGAGTGTAGGTGGGCTCCCAGAGCCATGACCCTCTTAACTCAGCACCCTGCACATATATCATCTTTATCAAATACAAATGAGTAAATGAATGAATGAATGCTCTACCCTTCCACCTTGCCATATGTGCTAAATGTATGGCCAAATTAATGAATGAGTACGCATGTTCCCTTCCCTCCCACCTTGCTTCAGGCTGCAGTTGTCCCCACATACAGCCTCGGCCAAGGGACTGAGCTGCTCACGTCCCCTGCGTGGCTCTGGTCCTTAAGGCTGCACCCCCCCTCCTGGAGCTCACTGCTTGCACGACATCCTTTACTACTGGTGCTCCTGAGGAAGGGGACTTGCAGACACGTGGATGCCAACTGCTGGGTCACTTCGGGTGGCAGGAAGGATAAATCCTGATGGGGAGAGTAAGGATGGAACAACTGTGGCCTGGGGCCAGCGTGCGTGGGGCCAGCCTCCATGGAGAGCCCTTCGGAAGCCTCGCTGTTTGCTGTGTTCCCTGGGAGGACAGGCAGGCCACTGCTGCTCTTGGAGCAGGAGCCTGCCGCTTGAAAGGCTGGGCCTCTACTGACCTTGGCTTTAGGCCTCCCAGCCCCGAGCCCTCACAGTGGCCTACTCTCCATCTATTCACTCCGGAGTTCCCAGCCACCGAGGATGCTCAGGGCCTCCAGTCCCTGGCTCCCAGCGTCTGCTGGCCCATCCTTTATCAGGACTGTAAGCCATCAGGCATGCTCTAGGCACTTAATTTTCATGAAATATTGGGTCCTCTTATTGTCAGGCAAACAGAGGGGTTGGTGACAAACTCTTCTCCTGTCACTGACACCAGCGCCAGTCTGAACATGATGCATAGTTTCCACGAGGCTGGCCGTCATGGGGAGGGGGTGTGTGCTGGAATTGATGAGGACAGCTCACATCCAGGGAAGATAAACATGCAGGAATGTTGAGGACAGGGAGGGGGACAGGGATGGGTGCTTGCCAAGCACCTTGGAGTCTCACTCCCCATCCATGGGTGGGGCCTCGTTACTGCCCCATACTCTTAAGAAGGCCACCCAGAGGTCTTTCTTCTCCCTGCCCAGCGCCCAGAGCCCTTTAAAAACAAAACAAAACTGTTTTACAAGGGGCTGGGAAGTCAGTAAAGTGCTTGCCACATAAGCGTGAGGACCTGAGTTTGAATCCCTAGCACCCATGTAAAAAGCTGGACATAGTGACATGTACCTATAATCTCAGTGCTGGGGAGGCAGAGACAGGTGGATCCCTGGGGCTTGCCAGTCAGACAGTCTAACTGCATCCTCAAGCTCTCGGGTCAGTGAGACCCTGTCTCACTAAAACAAAGTGGGCGGTGACTGAGGAGTGACATCTAGGGCTCTCCTCTGGTCTTCAATTCATGCATAGCAGTGTTCTTGAACACACACACACACACACACACACACACACACACACACACACACACTCACACACTCACTCACTCATGTCCACACTGACGAGACCCTTAACCAGTCTGCAAAGATAGGAATAAGAACCATGCTTCGTGTCTCTGTCCTTGACATGCATGACTGTGCATGCCCATGCACTCACGCACACACACATGCACACAATTATTATACAGAGTAACTTAAGGCCAATTTCATATAAGTGCATAATGTAGCATATTCTCCCCATACCCTGATTCCCTCTACCCTCTCACTAGCGCCCCCTGTTCCCCTTGACAGATTTATTTCTAATCCATGCTATCTGTACAGATAGGATTTTATGTATCTACACAGGCAAGGACTCACAAGCAAGAGAAAGGATGCAGCACTTGTCTTTCTGAGATTGATTGACTTCCTTACTGTGGTTATTTTGTTTCATCCGTCCAACTAAAATCAGGGAGACAAGAGTGTCCACTTTCCCGACTCCTGTTCAACACAGAGCTTAGAGTTTCGGCTAGCGCGATATGATGAGAGGGGATGTAAATGGGATATAAACAGGAAGGGAACGACTCAGCACATCCTTATTTGCAGATGACGTGACCCTATACATTCATGAGGCCCTCAAGCCTCCCCTGGAAACCTCTCAGAGTTGATAAACACTTGAAACAGAGCGGCAGGATGCAAATGAACACACAAAAATCTGTAGTCTTCTTATACACCAGTAACATGCCGAGAAAGAAACCAGAGGAGCAGACTGGGCAGGGTGGACAGTCCTGGGATCCCAGCACTCTGGAGGTGGAGGCAGGAGGACTGGGAATTTAAGGCCAGCCAGGGCAGCACAGTAAATGCTTGAACTCTATGAAGCCCTGTCTCAAATAAATGGGGCCACAGGAAGACAATCCATTCACAGTCACCGCAGAGGGCTTTTCCTCACAAGGAGCCAGGCTCTGTGCCACACCAGAGTAGAAAAGACAGAGTAGTGACTTTACTCTCTGCTGAAGCCCTTAAATTGCAGACTGGGAGAATCCCTGCTGTGTCCTTGGAGCAGCCCACCACTGGGCGTGCTGGTGCCCAGTTCTCTTGGTGCAGTATAAACTGGGCAGAGTATATGGGTAGTGAAGATGTTTTCAGGTTTCTTTTTGTTTTGTTTTGTTTTGTTTTGTTTTGTTTGAGACAGGGTTTCTCTGTGTTGTTTTGGTCCCTGTCCTGGATCTTGCTCTGTAGCCCAGACTGACCTCGCACTCACAAAGATCCACCTGCCTCTGCCTCCCGAGTGCTGGGACTAAAGGTGTGTGCCACCGCCGCCTGGCCGAGTAGTGAAGGTGTTCCCAGACATTCTTCTGTTACTTATTAGGAGACCTTCTGGCCTCCTCTACGGGCTCATCTCAACAGCCCCTAGCTGCTGGATACCCAGAAGTGAGGCATTATCCTGACTGACCTCTCAATGTAGCTAGTGAGCCAGCTTACATCAACACAGTGGCAGCACTGTCCTCTGCAGAGCAAGGGCATTTGTTGAGAGGGTCCCTGATGGTGAACCAGGGGTCCCTTTCGGAAGAAGTTGCAGCCCCAATGCAAAATCAGAGAAGGCCTGTGTCTGTGGCCCACCATGGGGAATCCTGCACTTCTGAGGTGAGCTCACTGTCCCTAAGTGACCCGCACCAGTGGACACTAGGGTTCTTAACCCGGCAAGAGCTTGTCCCTGGTAACCAGCAGTTTTGTTTCTTTTCTTTTTGTTTCTTTCTTTTTTTTTTTTTTCAAGACAGGGTTTCTCTGTGTAGTTTTGCTGCCTGTCCTGGATCTCACTTTGTAGACCTGGCTGGCCTCGAACTCACAGAGATCCGCCTGCCTCTGCCTCCCAAGTGCTGGGATTAAAGGCGTGCGCCAGTGCCGCCCGGCCAGCCAGCAGTTTCTTGACTTCCTGGCGGCTCTTCCTTAGTTTGTTTCTTTGTTTTGCAGTACAGGGATTGAAACCAGCATCTTGTGCGTGTTCGGCAAACACCCTTGAGCTGTATCCACAACCCAGAAGCTCTTTCAGAGAGACAGGATACATTCCTGCTGGTTTTAAAAATAAGTTCAACTGTAAAACAAGTCCTTATAAGTGCCCCTGGCCTTGCTTTGGCTCCCAGAATGCCTAGCAGATCCACTGAACACTGGATTGTCCTCGGCAGACTTCACAGGCCCTCCCAGGACTTTGCCACCCAGCCTGGGGCACCTGCACCTGTCCGAAGCTTTTTCTTTGTATCTTTGAAATGGCCTCATACCCCTAATGTGGTCAGAGGAGTGTAACGTTCCCATGGTGTCGCTGTTATAAAACTCTCTGGCTTGCCGGGCGGTGGTGGCGCACGCCTTTAATCCCAGCATTTGGGAGGCAGAGCCAGGCGGATCTCTGTGAGTTCGAGGCCAGTTTGGACTACCAAGTGAGTTCCAGGAAAGGCGCAAAGCTGCACAGAGAAACCCTGTCTCGAAAAA